AAGTTCCCTGGGGCTGGTAAATAATCTTGCTAAGTACAGACCAAGGAAGCCTCAGAGTGGTCCCCTGACAGGAGTTATTTTTGCTTAGCTCAGTATATCCCAAGACACAACTCCCCAGTTCCTAGTGATTCCTCCTGGGAGAACCAGCTGAAATATCTGCTCCCCAGGAAAAGGTGAAGGCTAGTTAAGAGAGAAGGAATCGCACAATGCCAGGAATATAGTAGGTCTTTAATAAATGCTTGCTGATTGTTATAGATTGCTAATAGAGGTAGTTAGTCCGTAAACTAGATAGAGCAAAGGACTTGCATTCAGGAAAATCTGAGTTCAAATGTGGCCTCAGACACTAAGCTAGCTATGAGATCCTGGGGCAGGCTAATTGATTTTGCAACACTTCAATTTCCTCATCTCTAAAATGGAAGTAATAATAATACCTACTTCCCAGGGTTGTTGTGAGTTAATATTTGTAAAGCACTTTGCACACCTTAAAACACTTATTATTATTGGTCTTAGATACTACAAGATGTTCCTAGGGGAAGAGGTTTTGTGTATCAGGGAGGAGAGCTCTTGCCCAAGTTCGGTTGTTAGGATTTGGTGTGAAAGAAGCTGACTTGAGGTCAACAGATATATTTGTAAAACACTTAGCACAAGGCCTGGTATACAGTAGGTGCTTAACAATTGCTTGTTTCCTTCCCTCTCTTTCCCAGATCAATTAACCGAACCCTCCTAGAGTGGGATCTTGGCCCCAGGCTGCCCAAACAAAAACTTGGATGAAAATCAGGATCTAGAAGCAGCAGAAGATAAACTGAGGCCATAGATAACAGTGAATATGACAGGGCTTCTTTTAAGATTTTCAAAATATTAGCTAATGATTACTCTATGAAATATCTCCCATTATTATCTCTCATTTTACAGAAGAGGAAACTGAGGCACAGAGAGGTTAAATAAGGTTGTCCAGGGCCACACAGCTAATGTCTAAGGCAGCATCTTCCCGATGGTAACCCCAGCTGTCCTCCCACCCTGTCCTTTTCCTCCCCTACCCCTAACACACATCCCATGTGTCCTCAAGGCTAGACATCCCCTTTGTTTCAATGAATCATCATATGGTATAAATTTCAGGCCCATCCCCCTCCTCGTTGCCCTTCTCTGGTCACTCCAGCTTATCCATTTCCATTTCTATCTCCCATGCTGGGCTGCCTCAAGAGCTGCAGGGTGGGGGGATAGAGAATCAGGTAGCACTTCTTGGAGGAGGGAGAGATTGATGGAAAAGAAGGGTGGGGTGTCACTGGCCATAAAAGTGAAAGCTAGGAGGAGCCTTAGAGACTAGAGATCATTCTTTTTATAGAGATAGAGACTGAGGTTCAGAAAAGGGACAGTAATTAGTCAAAAGTCATAGCTAGGAATCAGCAGAGCCCAGAATTAAGCCAGGTCCTCTGTCTACAAATGCATTTCTCTTTGCAATGAGCCTGGAGGGGTCAGGGATGGTGGGAAGGAGACCTCTGAAAGTCAGGAGGCAAAGCCTGGACTGAAGCCAATTAGACAGACCTTGAGGGTTGGAACAATGTTGTTTCTGGTTGAATCAGAGAAACAATGTAGTATGATAAGAAAAAGAAGAAAATAAAAGATGGAAGAAAAAGAACTTAGAGAAAAGAGACTTAGGTCTAATTCTTCAACTACTAACAACCATATGCTCCAGATGGCGAACATAGGAGGAATGCAAATCAAACAGATTCTGGGATTATATCTCGTGCCAGTTAAACTGGCAAAGATGATAAAATATGGGAATGAGCAATGGTAAAGGGGTCATGGAAGGAAGGGTACACTAATACATTGTTGGTGGAGCTGAGAGTCCAACCATTCTGGAAAGCAATTTGAAATAATCAATTATTCATCAAGTATTTATGGTTTGTTTAAAGTTTTGTGTGAGGAAAGTCACCTGGCCTCTCAAGTTGCTAAATTTGACACTCATTGGTACAGGAAGTCCCTAGACTAACAAAATCATAGGTGTAGCCTCCACACAAAATAGAGCAAACCTTGCTATGCAAGAAGCTTCCATTGTATCAGGGGAAATAGAAGTACATACAGAATAAACCAAGGGAGAGAGACTAGACCTCTAATTTCATTAGTACTGGGACCTCCCAGGTAAGGAAACTCCTGCCACTGATGCGCATTGGCACATTATATAGTCTCAGCTGCCTGGGACATGGAGAGGTTAAGTGATTTGCCCAGGCTTACACAGCCAGAATGGGTCAGAGGTAGAACTCAAACCTGCAGTTCCCCAAGCTTTGAGATCGACTCTCCAACCACCTATGCCTGGCTCACCTCCAGCAGTCTAACAGGTCCAGCAGGTCCCACCCCTCCCAAGGCTCCACCCTCCATCAGGCCCCGCCCCCTGCATAGGAAGGGCCCTCTTTAAGCATTGTCCCAAAAGAGATGGAGGAGGAGAAGAATGCTAAGAGGTCCCACGTGGCCCCAACCTATTTCATCACTTGTAAAAATTGCCCCAGGTTTATTTCTCCTCCCCCGCTGGGACTTCCGGTCTTGTCTCTTCGTCACTCTGTCCCTCCATTAGACCACGCCCCTAAGGTTAGGGCAGCCCTCTAGAAGCATCCCCTCAAAGGAGATCACCTGATTGTAAGCTCCTAAAGGGCAGAAACACTCAGGGGGACTCTGTTGAGTTTCGGGGGTAAAAAGACAAGACATTAAACCCAACCTCCCCTCTACGAGCTTACGTTCTTTTGGTTAGGGGCAAGGGGAGAGACAACAAGGACATATAGAATCATAGATTTAGAATTGGAAGGGGTCTTAGATTCAATACAATACGCATTAATTAAGGGCCAGGCACTGTGCTAAGTGCTAGGGGATACAAAAAGGCAAAAGTCAGTCCCTGCCCTCAAGAAGCTTATAGTCTAACGAGCGGGAGGGGATACAACATGCAAACAAACATCTGCAAAGCAAACAATAGACAGAATAAGTGGAAATAATTAAAAGAAGGAAAGCACTGGAATTAAAAGGGGTTGGGGAAGGCTTCCTGTAGAAGGTAAGATTCTAGAAGCCAGTTAGTCTCATTTTACAGGAGAGGAAACTGAGGCACACACAGGTTAAGTGACTTGCCTAAAGTGTCAAAAGTAGTCATTGGCAGAGCCAATAGTTGAATGTAGGACCTCTCATTCCAAACCCATTAATGAGTCCCCAAGTGTAAAATGGGGATGATAATAGCACTTGCCTCCCAGGGGTATCGTGAGCATCAAACAGGATATTTGTCAGTGTTTAGCACATTGTTGTTGTTCAGCCATTTCAGTTGTGTCTGACTCTCCATGAGCCCATTTGGGGTTTTCTTGGCAGAGATACTAGAATGGTTTGCCATTTCCTTCTCCAGCCCATGTAACAGATGAGGAAACTGCGGCAAACAGAGTGAAGTGACTTGTCCAGGGTCACACAGCTAGTAAGTGTATGAGGCTGGATTTGAACTCGGGAAGATGAGTCTTCCTGACTCCAGACCCTGTGTTCTATGCTCTGTGGCTCCACTTAGCAGCCTATGCGTAGCTTAATACCTAGTATATAGTAGATGCTTAATAAATGCTTCCTTCAAACAATTTCCACTTTTCCTAATCTTTGGGATTGTTTCCTTGACTAAAAAGTTCTTAAAAATAAGAGGTATAGAAAAGTAGCTCCCACAGGAGGTAAAAGGTTCACATTCATTGGAGGTCTTCAAAGGGAAACCTGGCTCAGGCCCCTTTTGGGAACAGATGGAGGGGGGGTCTTCTCCATTAATTGTTTGTTCATGCACGGTTGGACTAGATAGTCTTAGGGACCCGTTTCAAGTCTGAGACTCTCAGTCAGTGACAATGAGATGCCAGGTCCTGAGCTAGGAGTTAGTGGCAACTGGACTAGACAAAGAAAAAAATAAACCAGCTCTTGCCCCCTAAGGAGTTTACACTCTATTTTGGGTGATGCTTCTGGCCCAGGGTAGACAAGGGACATGGTATATAGGGAAGGACCCCATACTCAGTAAGGAGAATCAGAGTCTTTCTCTGGAAATAGGATGATGGCCTGTCTTCTCATTTGGGTAGCCACAAAAGCCTTCCTTGATCTCACCAGCCACTGCCATTTGGGGGAAGAAGGACATTCAGGGGAAGGAGGTACCTTTGAGTCTTCCTGAACTCAGGGAGGTGAGGCCACAGAGCCTATGTCCCAAGCACTCCTCACTAGCAGCCTGCAGAGGGGTCATTGGTGAAGGGGAAGGGATCACATGAAGCTCTAGAGGAAGCTTAGAGTTACAGAGCTGGACAGGCCCTGGGACAGGGTCTAGTTCAACTCTCACCTGAAGCAAGAATCCTTTGCTACATTGTCACCAACAGGGGTCATCACTCAGCCTCTCCTTGAATACTTTCAGTGATGGAGAGATCACTCTTCTTGCTTGAAATCAGTGGTTGCCCTTCACTCTGTCATTCTCTTTTTTGTTCTAAGGACCTTCTCAGTTTTGATATTCACCAAGGACCTTTCACTTCTGGCATTCTGGGTCCTATGGGCCCTGCCAGTTCTTTGGTTCTAGGATCTGTTTCCCTCCTCGGGAACCTCTACCACTTTGACAACCCATGGTCACATCAGACTGGGCTGAGCTAATCTGTTTAAGGAAGGTGCTGGACAGATTAGGATACCAGGCTCTCTTATGCCAAGGGAGATTCAGGCAGCAGCCAGCATGTTAAATGAGAACTGCCCAGCTCCCAGGACCTCTGGGTGGCAAATGCAGTGGACATAGCCCTGGATATGGAATCAGAAAACCTGAGTTCTAGGCTCAGCTCTGTCACTGTCTCACCATATGATCTCCTCCTATTTTGAGGCCTCAGTTTCTCTGTAAGATGAAGTGGTTAGACTTCGTTAAGGTCGCATACTTATGACATTCTCTATTTCTAAAAATTGATGATCTGGGTGCACTGACTCCATTAACTATGGTTTGTCCTGCCAATCCCACTTGAGACATTTGGTGAATTACCCTCAGGATGCTGGCCACCTTGTACAAGTCATTTTGGAAGACTGAATACTGGCTCCCTCCCGGGTACACTTGGGCTGATTTGGAAGATTCAGATGGCATCACATACCCTCATCCCAAAGACCTGCTGGCAGCCATTCCCCTGACATTTGTCTTACTAGTCGTTAGATATGGCACTGAGAGGTGAGTCAGCTGTGGAGGATTTCCCCTTACCCCCTTTAAAAAATAATTAAAATTTTTTTGATGCCTTTTACTTTTAGAAAACCTTTACTATGAAAAAAAATCTTTCCATCAAATATCTTTGATAAAAATCCAATGTATAGATACCTATATGGGTGCCTTATTCTCCTGTATTACCATAAACTTATTAAGGGTAAGGATGATATCTTAAAGTCTGTTATCTCCCACTAGCTCTGGGCACTGGGCTTGGTAACACAATAAGGGCTTACCAGAGAATGGGGTAAATTATCTCATAAAAAAAAAAAAACAGAAAAGAAAAGTCTCTTACAGTGGAAGGGGAATCGGGGGAAGGTGAGTGGGAATGAGTGAATCTTATTCTCATAGGATTTGGCTTATGGAGGGAATAACATACACATTCAATTGGGTATGGAAATCTGTCTTACCCTACAGGAAAATAGGGGGAAAAGGGGACAAGAGAGCAGGGGGATGATAGAAAGGAGGGCAGATTGGGAAAGGGGTTAATCAGAAGTAAATATTTCTGAGGAGGGACAGGGTCAAAAGAAAGAATAGAATAAATGGGGGGCAGGATAGGATTAAGGGAAATAGAGTTAGTTTTTCACATGTCTATTATGGACGTGTTTTGCATAACTGCACATGTACAACTTATATTGAGTTGCCTGCCTTTTCAATGAGGGTGGGTGGGGAGGGAGGAAGAGAGAAAAATTGAAACCTAAAGTTTTAAAAACATATGTTTAAAAAAATGTTTTCACATGCTGCTGGGAAATAATATAGGAAATGGGGTGCAGAAGTCTATCCTGCCTTACAGAAAAATAGAAGGGGAAGGGGATAAGAGAAGGGGAGAGAGATAGAAGAGAGGACAGAATAGGGGAAGGGATAGTCAGAATGCATGACATTTTGGGGTGGGGGGAGGGGGAAGATGGGGTAAAAACATGGAACTCAAAAACTTGTGGAAGTGAATGTTGAAAACTAAAAATAAATAAATTTATATTTAAAAAAAAATTAGGGCTTACCAGATACTTCATGAATTTCAGGGGGGGAGAATATTTGCTCTTTGACTGTGGCCCAGCATCTTGAGAAGCCCATCTGATCCACTTAAAGGGATCTTCCAGCCCCCTTCCCTGACAGTCCAAAAGACTTTCCCATAAGGGAAGGTTAAGCGTCCTATATGTGCCCCACAGGCACCCCTTCCTCTTCGTACATCCTCCTCCCATGCTCCATCTCCCCAGGGTATGCCAAGTGGGCTGTGATAGGTCAGTTGGTGGGCAAGATCTGTCAGAGAGCTCCCAAAGGGCCATAAATGGGAGAGTTCCTGTGCACTCAGCTTCTCCTGTCTCCTCTCACAGGATCATAGGGCTGCCCTTAAGTAGAGCGCTGGGTGTACGTGATCCCGTCAGGATCAAGGCTACTCCCAACCGCATCCTGGAGTCATTTTTCTGGACCCAGAGTAAGAATCCCAAAAAGGTAAGCAGGCCACAGGTTTGGATGCCATTAAGGATCCTGGGAGGTTTAAGTCTCCAGACCCTTCAACAGGGCAGTTTCTGATGTTCAGTGGCTCTTGAATAAGAAGTGGGGGAGATGGGAGGTGCTATGTACCTAGGGCTCACTCAGATACCTGCTCTCTGTGTTCCTGTTTCTTCTAGAGAGGGTGATTCTTACTCTGAGCATCAAGTTCTACCAACCTCTAACCTCAGAGAAGATTAAGAGCTCACCAGAACTGGGTTCTAATCCCACCTCCACTGCTGACTTGCTTTGCGACTTTAGTCAAGTCACTTGACTTGTTTTTGGAGCCTTAGTTTTCTCACCTGTAAAATGAGGGGATGATCTCTAAGGTCAACACCAGCTTTCCCATTCTATGTTCTGTAGACATGGTTTTCTCCCTGAGAGTCATCCCCAATACCTCATCTCCATATTCAATCAGTCGCCAAGCCTTGTTGATTCTGTTTCCGTAACATTTCCTGAAGCCATCCCCTTCTCTCCACTTCTCCCACAGCCATTTGAATTCAGGTCCTCACCATCTCTGCCCCCCACCCCCCACTATTGCAATGCCTTCCCTAATGTGTTCCATTGCCTTCACTGTCCTTGCTCCACACAGCCTCCAATAAGTCATGTCTGACCGTGCCACCTCTCTGCTCCTCTGAATGTCTCTCTATTGACTCCAAGTTAAATACAAACAGTTCTTTTTGACCTGTAAAGCCATTTGCAATTGGACCCCAGTCTGCCTTTTGAGACTTATTCCACATCACTACCCCACACACTCTGCTCTCGGCAAATTCACCTACTCACTGTTATTTGTATCTGACATTCCATCCCTCACACCCATGCAATTATACAGGCTGGCTCCTATGTCTGCCATATTCTCCTTCCCCAGGAATGCTCTCACTTCTCCATTGTGGAAACTCCGGCTCCCTTTAAGGCCTCTACCTCCTTCAAGAAACTTATCCCGATTTTCCCAATTATTAACATTCTCCTGAAATTACTTTGTATTTATTTAAGTCTATTTTGTATTTATTTACATGTACACATCATATCTCCCCCAACAGAATGTAAGCTCAGTTAAGGTGGGACATGGTTAGTTTTCATCTCTCCATAGTGCCTGACATGTTGGTTTCAGAGACTCTTCCCCAGTGCGGACCTCCTTTTCCCCAAAGGGCATCATGGCTATGGCAGGGCCAGGGTGTGGCCTAGGTAATGCTTTTATTGAGGGAGTTGTGTCCCAGTCTGAGACAGGAAGGGGTGTCCTAGGGAAGGAGGCAGCCCCTTGGACCCTGCCCTTGGAGACTAGGCTCAAGAACGAGCCATGCTCTTGGAAGCCACTAGGCCCCTGGGGAGAAGAATGGGCGCTCCCTGATTAGGGATACTATGTGAGCTTAGGGGAGAGGGCAGTCACGGGAAGCTAAGGTCCTCCCTTTGTCCATCCTACCCCTAATCTTCTCCTCTGGTGTCCAGGATGAGCTGAGTCACCTGGCCAGCCAGTGCAGCCTCTCTGTGAGGCAAGCCGAGCGCTGGTTTCGACACCGGAGAAACCAAGAGCGACCATTACTGAGCAAGAAATTCTCTGAATCCTGGTGAGTTGGGGAGACCCAATGGAAGACTAGCTCCAAGGCACCATTACTGAGCAAGAAATTCTCTGAATCCTGGTGAGTTGGGGGGACCCAATGGAAGACTAGCTTCAAGGCATCCAGATTTAGGTCAATAGGCCTGACTTGAAAAGCAGGTGCCCCACAATTAGTTCATCTTTCCACCCACCCCCTCCATCCCCAGCAAGACAACCTTATCCATTCATCTCCACTCCTGTTCTGTATTTTCAGTTCAAGATTTTTATTTTACTCCTGTTCTTCTTTTGGAGGCTTGCTCATCTTCTACAATGTGAGTATGTCCTGTCCCATCCCTACTGCGTGACTATCTCTCCTCATTTTACTCCTCATCCTCTCCATTCCCGTTGTCTTTGTCCTTCCGCCTTTTTCTGCTCATTCATCCTCTTCCATCTTCCTCCAATTCCTTCTATCCCCTCATTTTTTCTCTCTTTGTCCTCTTTGTTCTCTGTTCCCACATTGTTCACTTTGTCCCTTCTTGCTTTGCCCCTCTTTCTTTCTTTCTTCTTTCTTTCTTCTTTCTTTCTTTCATGCAGTTGGGATTAAGTGACTTGCCCAGGGTCACACAGCTAGTAAGTGTCAAGTATTTGGTCTGAGGCAGGATTTGAACTCAGGTCATCCTGACTTCAGGGCCAGTGCTGTATCCACTGCACCACTTAGCTGCCCCCACTTTGTCCCTTTTTCATGTCCCTTCCCATGTCCCCATAGTCATCATCTCTCTTCCTTTACCCTTTGTGAATTTTTGTCCTCTCCACCTCTCATTTCCTTCATCACTTTCCCCGCTCCATCCCTTATCCTATCTCTTCTTTGTCCCCCAATCCTTTCCACTCCCATTCCCTTGATTCTTCTCTTCTTGATTCTGCTCCTCCATTCTCTGCCTTCATAGGCTCCCCACACTCACTTTATCCTCACTCTCTTTCTCTCTCATTCTGTTCCCTTTTCTTATCTATTTCATTGCCACTACACCCCTACCTTGATCCCAATCCATTCCCCCCCATCAACCCCAAATCATGTCCTTCATCCTCTTATATCACCCCACGTTGCAGCCATCTAAGGGCGATGTAGCTAGACTGGTCACTCTGACCAATAGGCATCATGAGTAAGATAAGAACTGAATCAGAAATAGTGCCCTCAATCATAGAAATGAGAGTTTCAGAGGGAGCAAGTCCAGGGTTGGTGGGGGAGGGGAGGAGAAAGGAGTGAATCATAGAATCCCAGGAATTGAGAATCAGAAAGGACCTCAGCAGACATCTTGTCCAATTCATATAGGAAAGGAGTCTACGCTATAACATACCTGACAAATGGCCATCATTCAGCTTTGGCTTGAAGACCTCCCCGTAGCGGGGACACATCACCTCCCAGAGTAGCCCTTCTACTTTGGGACAGGTCTCATTATTAAGAAGTTTTTTCTTGAGATCAAGCCAAAATTAGCCTCTTTCTAACTTCCACCTATTACTGCTGGTTCTGCCTTCTGGGGTCAAGCTAACTTGGAGACAGTCATCATGTTCCCCTTGAGTCTTCTCCAGGCTAAACTTGCTCAGTTTCTCTAGTGGATCCTCATGTGACATGAATTCAAAGCCCTTCCCATCCGATCAATGGCCAAGTCTTGCTGATTCTATTTCCATAACATCTCTAGAAACCATCACCTCTCCACTCCCACCAGAGCCCCCCTATTTCAGGGCCTCAGCACCTCTGCTCCCCACTATGGAAATAATTGGTTCTGTAGCCCCCATTGTCTCCCTTCTAACAGTCCATCCTCCTCACAGACTTTCCTAAAGCTCTTATCTGACCATGTCACTTCCCTCCTCAAGAATTTTTTTTAATTTAAAAAAAAATTTTTATAAAGAAACTTAAAGGATTCCCTATTGCCTCTAACATAAAATACAAACTGTTCTCTTTGGCCTGTAAAGCCCTCCACAGTTTGGCTTTAATCTATCTTTTGAGGCTTATATATAAGCACCCACCATATTCTAGACACCATATTCTATTTGGGGGGGGGCTTTTTGGTGTTTGGCTATCAGAGTTAAGTGACTGGCCCAGGGTCACACAGCTAGTAAGTGTCAAGTGCCTGAATCCATATTTGAACTCAGGTCCTTGTGACTCCAAGGCCGGAGCACTATCCACTGCACCACCTCGCTGCCCCTAGACACCATATTCTAGACAAATTCACCTATTTCTCGTTACTGGTTGCCCTCCTCTGGACACTCCCCAGCTTATCTATTTCCTTCTTAAACCATGGTGCAAAGAACTATACCTAATCTTCCAAATGAGGTCTGATGAGAACAGAATACAGCTCGATTACTCCTCCCTAGTCCTGGAAGCTATGCCCCTCTCAAGGCAGCCTAATGTCCAATCAGCTATTTAGGCTACAATATTACACTGCTAAAACTTTTAAATCTTTTTTTTTTTTGAGAAAGGAAGACTAGTTAAATGCTTCAATCATTTGGAAGCTTCATAGTTTGACAGACCTCTCTAACCCAGCCCATACTCCCTAGCTATTCCAGAGCTAACAGAAGGACCAGATGCTAACAATCTGGAGGGATGTAGAAAGGAACAAAGGGTCAAGCCTTTCATCTAACCAGGGGTTAAACCTCATAAGTTTGATTCTGACTTGTCCAGAACCTGGGGAGGAGGAGGTCAGGATAAGGATAGGAGATGACATAAGGTGGTAATGCAATCATTCCTGCTGAATACTTAGAGTTCCCTAGGGGAAGGCTCAAGGCTATGGGGAGGAACTGTTGTTTGTGGGGACTAGTGATTCTGAAAGCAGTGTCTAGAACATGTCCCTTGTTTCTTCTAGGCATCTTGGTTTGGCCAACCAGAGACATTGTGGAAGGGATACCCTAAGCAGGTGAGCTGTGCCTGGACAAGGGCCAGATTTGTCCACAGAAACAAGCCCTGGGAATGATGATGATGATGAAAGCTAGTATTTATAAAGCACTTTAAGATTTGCAAAGCACTTCCCAAATATTATATCATTTGATTCTCACAACAACTCTGTGGGAGGTGCTATGATTATCCTCATTTTATAGATGAGGAGACTGAGACAGACAGAGGTTAAGTGACTTGCCCAAGGTCACACAGCTAGTAAGTTCTCAAGCTATATTTGAACATAGGTCTTCCTGACTCCAGGTCCAGTACACCATCCACTGCACTCCGTAGCGGCCAGAAATGACTGTATGTGTTGCATGCTCTCTCCCTCTTCCTATGCTTATTGCAAACCCCCTACCTTCAGAATCACAGAATCTCAACACTGAAGAGGACCAGAAAGCTGTCATAACTGAACAAAATTCTTCACCCCACCTCTACTTGAAGTTCTCTAGGGAGGGTAAAGCTTCCAAGGCAGCCCAGTCTACTTTAGGAAACTCTCTTTGTTAAGAAGTTTGTTCTTACATCAAACCAAAATCTGGCCATCTGTAGCTTCCTTCCACTGAACCCAGTTCTTCTCTCTGGAGTTGTCTTCCACATGATGGCCCTCCAAGTATTTACAGACATTAACCATGTCCTCCATTTATTTTCTTTTCTCCAAGCTAAATATACTCAATTATTTTAATAAATCTTGATCATAATCAGTGTGACCCCAAGGCCCATAACCGTCCTGAGTACTCTCCTTTACAACCTTCTCCAGTTTTTAGAAGTCTTTTTTTAAAATACGGCACCCAAAACTCAACACTGTGGCCAAATCAGACTCATTATAATTCCTTCCCTTCCCGCAATTGATTGTCTTTGGCACTCTCTACAAATGTTCTTTTCATCTCTCATTGAGCTGCCAACACCACCCCATTCACACATCCTGATTCAGCTGAAGACCTCATCCCATATTTTATTGAGAAAAGAAGCCATTTGCCACGACCTCCTTCTTTTTCCCTTGGCCATATCTCAAAATGCCTAAACAACATTCCCCTTTTCCTCTTCTCTATGTCTCTAATGAAAAGATTATTCTTCTCACTAAAACCAACCCCTCTACCAAGTCCTCTGGTTTCGTCCCCTCCTGTCTCCTTCAACAAATTGCTCTGTAATTATTTGCAAAAGGACTTAGTGTTGAATATTATTCCTCTCATAATTTAGACTAATATTGAATTAATTCTTTTGGTTGTCTCATTACATTACTGACTCATATTCAGCTTGCAGCCCACTAAAACCACCAGATATTTTTCAGATCCATTGATAACTAACAACCTTTACCCCATATTGTATTTATGAATTTGATTTTTCGAACTTTTACACTTTAACACTTAAGATTTTATGTTTACCATTTTAAAATAATATTTATTTTTCCCTAGTTTCATATAAAGACAATTTTTAACAGTCATTCTTAAAAATTTTTGAGTTCCAAATTTTCTCTGTCCCTTCCTCACCTCTCCCTCCATGAGATAGTAAGCAATTTGATATAAATTATACATTTTCAAACTTGCAAGCATATTGCCACATTAGACATGTTTTAAAAGAAACCACAGGGCCAAAACATGGAAAAGTGCAGAAAGTGAAAAATAGTATGCTTAAATCTGCATTCAGATTCCATCAGTTCTTTCTCTGAAGGTGGTTAGCACTTTTCATCATGAATCTTTTGGAATTGTTTTAGGTCATTCTATTACAGAGAATAGCTACGTCATTCACAGTTAATCATCATACAGTGTTGCTGTTACTATGTAGAATGTTCTCCCAGTTCTGTTTACTTCACTTTTCATCAGTTTAGATGTGTTTCCAGGATCTTTCGAAATCTGCCTGTTCATCATTTCTTAAAACAAAGTCATAATCCCTTACAATCATATACCACAATTTACTCTTCCATTCCCCAGTTGATGGGCATCCCCTCAAGTTCCAATTATTTGCCACTACAAAAAGAACTGCTATAAATATTTTTCTACAAGTAGGTCCTTTCCCTTTTTTTTAAATCTCTTTTGGATATTGCTGAATCAAAGGATTTGCATGGTTTTATTGCCCTTTCAAAGTATTTCTAAATTGCTTTCCAGAATGATTGGATCAGTTCACAACTCCACCAACAGCACATTGGTTCCCAATTTTCCCACACCCCTTCCAACATTTGTTATTTTCCTTTCTGTCGTATTAGCCAATATGATAGAGGTGAGGTGGCTCCTCAGAGTTGTTTTACTTTGCATTTCTCAAATCAATAGTGATTTAGAGCATTTTTTTCATGTGACTATAGATAGCTTTGATTTCTTTTTTTAATTAATTTATTTTTAGTTTCCAATATTGTTTGCACAAGATTTTGAGTTCCAAATTTTCTCCCCATCTCACCCCTTCCCCCACCCCAAGAGGGCATACATTCTGTATACCCCTTCCCCTAATCTGCCCTCCCTTCCATCTCTCCCCCCGCCAGCTTCTCTTATCACCTTCCCCTTCTATTTTCCTGTAGGGCAGGATAGATTTCTATATTCCATTGCCTGTATATCTTATTTCCCAGTTGCATGTGAAAACAATTTTTAACATTTGTTTTTAAAACTTGGGGCTCCAAATTCTCTCCCTTTCTCTCTCCCCATTCACCCTCTATTGAGAAGGCAAACAACTCAATACAGATTATACATGTGTAGTCATGCAAAACACTTCCATAGTAGTCATGTTGTAGAAAACTAACTATATTTCCCTTCATCCTATTCCACCTCCCATTTATTCTATTCTTTCTTTTGACCCTGTCCCTCCTCAGAAGCATTTGCTTCTGATTAGACCCTCCCCCAATCTGCCCTCCCTTCTATCATTCCACCCATCTCTTATCACCTTCCCCCTTATTTTCTTGTAGGGTAAGATAGATTTCCATACCTAATTGAGGGTGTATGGTATTTCTTCCTTAAGCCAAATCTGATGAGAATAAGATTCACTCATTCTCTCTCACCTTCCTCCACTTCCCTTCCACTGTAAAAGCCTTTTCTTGTCTGTTTTCTGTGAGATAATTTACCACATTCTACCTCTCCTTTTTTCCTTCTCCCAATATAATCCTTTCTCACCCCTTAATTTTATTCTCCAGATATCACCCCTTCATCTTCAACTCACCCTGTGCCTCTATCTATCTATCTATCTATCTATCTATCTATCTATCTATCTTATACTCATATATATGCATATAATTTTTTTCCCCTCCAACTACTCTAATACTGATGAAGGTCTCATGAGTTACAAATATCATCTTTCCATGCAGAAATGTAAACAGTTCAACCTTAATAAGTCCCTTGTGATTTGTCTTTGCTGTTTACCTCTTCATGCTTTTCTTGAGTCTTGTATTTGAAAGTCAAATTTTCTATTCAGCTCTGGTCTTTTCATCAAGAATGCTTGAAAGTCCTCTATTTCATTGAATGTCCAATTTTTCCCCTTGAAGGATTATACTGTTTTTCTGGTTAGGTGATTCTTGGCTATAATCCTATCTCCTTTGCCCTCTGGAATATTATATTGCAGGCCCTCTGGTCCCTTAACATAGAAGCTGCTAAATTTTGTGTTATCCTGATTGTGTTTCCAAAACACTTGAATTGTGTCTTTCTGGCTGCTTGCAATATTTTCTCCTTGACCTGGGAACTCTGGAATTTGGCTATAATATTCCAGAGGGGTTTTCTTTTGGGGATCTCTTTCAGGAGGTGATCAGTGGATTCTTTTGATTACTATTTGACCCTCTGATTCTAGAATATCAGGGCAGTTTTCCTTAATAATTTCTTGAAAGATGATGTCTAGGCTCTTTTTCTGATCATGACTTTCAGATAGTCCAATAATTTTAAAATGATGTCTCCTGAACCTATTTTCCAGGTCAGTTGATTTTCCAATGAGATATTTCACATTGTCTTCTATTTTTTTCATTCTTTTGGTTTTGTTTTACAATGTCTTGATTTCTCATAAAGTCACTAGCTTGCATTTGCTCCATTCTAATTTTTAAGGAAGTATTTTCTTCAGTGAGCGTTTGGACTTCCTTTTCCATTTGACCAGTTCTGCGTTTTAAGGCATTCTTCTCCTCATTGGCTTTTTGGACCTCTTTTGCCATTTGGGTTAGGCTATTTTTTTAAGGTGCCATTTTCTTCAGTATTTTTTGGGTCTCCTTTAGCAAGCTGTTGACTTGTTTTTCATGATTTTCTTGCATCACTCTCATTTCTCTTCCCATTTTTCCTCTACTTCTCTTACTTGCTTCTCAAAATCCTTTTTGAGCTCTTCCATGGCCTGGGACCAATTCATATTTTTCTTGGAGGCTTTGGATATAGAAGCTTTGACTTTGTTGTCTTCTTCTGGTTCTACGTTTTGATCTTCTTTGTCGCCAAAGTAAGATAACATAGTCTGCCTTTTTTTGCAGTTTGCTCATGTTCCCAGCCAATTACTTGAGTTTTAAACTCTTTGCTAAGGTAGGGGTCAGCTTCCAGTGTGGAGAATGTATTGTCCCAAGCTTGGGGCGGGGGGGGGGGAAGTTGTGCATTTGTTTTCAGAGATACTTCTAGGGACCTGTAAATTTTCAGTTCTTCCAAGGTGGTATGATCAAATGCAAGGTGTTCACTCCTTTCCTGGCCTGTACTCTGGTCTATGAGTGAACACAAATACTCTTTTCTGTCTTGGAACTGTGAGGAGGATTCCCTTTTCACTGCCACTACAAGCTCCACCACGCCAGCACTCCTGTTTTCCCCAGAACCACCACCCAGAACTGTGACCCAGATCCAAGCATGAGCAAAGCAAGAGAATCCTGCCTCAGCACCAGCAAAGAGATCCCTGCAATCCCCCTCTGATCAGCCACTTGATTCCCCCTCTATCTGTGGACCAAGAACTCTGGAAGCAGCCACCATCCCAGGGTTGCGCTGGGACTGGGGCTGGGACCAAGCTTGTCTCTCACCATGGTCCAACAGACCTTTGCTACTGACCTTCTAAGTT